TAAATGATTGTTTTCCTTCTGAGGAATTGGAATTGCCCCCTCCCTTGATTTAAAGAGCTTAAGCCATGGTCTGTAACTTGGTGCCTGGAAGCTTTTACAAACTTGAAGCAAGCCATTGGTCCTTTCTGTTGTGATAGCAACAACAGACTTAAAAAGATTTGGCTTTACTTGTTGAATGGGCTTCATAAAAATTACATGAAGAAAAGAATAAAATTTAAATTGGCATTTGTGTGGTCAGATTTCTCATATTTAAGTCATTTGAAATCATAAGATTAAACATTTTTATGGATACTGAAAAATATAGCTCCATGACCATATTTGAATGAAGTCTTCTCATTAAATTTCATAGACAAATCTGTTAGGCATTGTCCAGTGTAATAGTTTTTTCCTTTCGTTTTTTTTTTTTTTTTTTTTTTTTTTAATCAATTTACCCCAAGCAAGGTGATAATGCCACTAAGACACAAGGGGCTACTGAGAGTGAAATAGAATAAAAAAGACTTTAGAAAGAACTGGAAATCCAATCCTAAGCAGGAAGCAAGGGATAGACATTCTACTCCTGTTCAAAAGTCCAGGGAGGAGTATGGACGAGACGATAGGCACACCTAACTACTCCGACGGAGGAAATAACTAAATAAATATTAAATAAAATATGAGCGTTTATGCAGAGATGTTAGAAGTATAGAGTTGAAGTAGACTTTAGAAGGAACTGGAAACCCAATCCTAAACAAGGGATAAACCTTCACTCCTGTTCAAGCTAAAAAGTTCAAATATCATCAGAAGTTCACCTAACAGTTGTAGAATGTCAGATGTTTCTACAAAAATGCACATATCCAAGAAATAAATTTTTTTTTTTTTTTTTTGGATATTCCTGTTGCATAAGGACTCCAGTTCTCCATATCCAAAAGTTATTTCTTTTTTTTTTAAATTTTCTAAATTTTAAGAAAGGTGTTCAGTTTGTTGTGTAAATTAATTGTAAATTGATCCTCATCTGGAAAGCTAAAAAAAAATATGCTCACACCATGTAAATTATATTCTTACTTTAAAAAATTTCAAATAATTTTACATAAAAAATAAAAATTAATATTTATATTATTTAAATATTTAAATTATTTAAAATTTATTTTAAAATAATTGTCGTAACCTAGAATAATTACACAAAGGTTTGTAATGAACGATAATACTTAGGACAAGAACAACACATATAAGATTTGCCAGCGGTGCGTACTAGAAGTAGTCAACTGCTAGAAGAGAGTCGAATGAATTCTACAATGAATCTCCAACTGCTCCACATGGTCAGATGTGGCACAAGGCCGAATTTAATGTGGGGTATCCAAGCCCATAGGCTCGGCCAAAAATTCCCAATAGTCCCTGTATAAAACAAGGTCGGGTAGCTGTTTCCTGAGACAAGACTCTGCCCTTTGATATAGCTTAGTACGGGGATCCTCTCTGCCTCCAGGCAGAGAGTTTGACCAGTACAGTTGGAGACAAATCTCCAACTGCAGACCAACATACAGTATTTACTACTTTATTTATGTGAATGGGGACATACGCATTATTGTCTGTAGGTATGCTACAACAGTATCTAAGATATTATTTAATAATTACACATTCTTATTTACCTTTGTTGTAAATAATGTTTACATACAAAATTTAAAATAATTTCAAAACAGCTACAAAATATGAATTTAAAGCAGATTCTTAACTATTTACTCTATTTACATTGTTCAGATTGTTGTCCTCATCTTTATTGACATATTAACGACGTTTCGGCCGTTGTACCCTCCATCCTTCTTCAGGTGATATATGTTGGAATTTTGAACATAAACCCTTTATTTAGGCTGGAGCATAAAACGGCTGAAATATCATGAATATAACAATAAAGATGAGGACAACAGATTGAACAATGTAAATAGTGTAAATAGTTACAATACCTCATCTCAGAAATATAGACAGATCTGGATGAAGGCCGCAGCATACAACGGCCAAACGTTGTGAATATAACAATAAAGATGCAGACAACAGTCTGAACAATGTAAATAGTTACAATACCTCATCAATATAGACAGATGCAGATTCTTAACTTTCCTATTTTATTATTACTATTATTTCCCTTACTTAGCTTTTTATTTTATATGGCTTGAATAGGGGGATCAATTTACAATGAATTTACATAGCACACTGAACCCCCACCTCTTAAAAGCTTACAGCTATATCATGTTGAAACATTAGTTCCCGGATGATCACCAAAGTTAAGCAACATTGAGCCTGTTCAGTATTTAGGTGGGTGACTGCTTGGGGTATTCCCAAGTAGTCACCCACCTGGTGTAAGCTTGGATGTGCAGGTGGTGTCATAAATAACAGCTCAGACTTGGAATTTGGAGAGTCGGGTTCCTATTTTCCAGTTGCGTTCATTATATTTACTTACAAGTAAATAACCTTAGGAAACGTATGAATCCACCTCTTCTTCCCTCCAGGTATGGGTTAATTAGTAAGACTTGTATCAATAAAGCATTATTATCTCCCAAAAAGATTTTTTACAATCTAAAAATATATTTCTGGCTTTAAATAACCTGCAAATTTTGATAAGCCATAAAAAAAAAAATCAATTAATAATCTTTTAAAATGAGAGAATTAAATTTTTTTATATTCATGATCAGGAGAGATTGATACAAAAACAAATTGAAAAATGTTATTCTTTCTTGGAGAAGTGTGGTTCTGTAGAAATGCAGAATGGTAAAACAACACAAGCATTTCAATTAAACAGCAATAAAAACAAGATTAAAGAAAAAAATTAGTCAAAAGTTAATAATAAAATTTAGGTTTGTTTAGTACAAGTTTACGAATAGTTCAATTCTCTCCAGTAATAGTGATTTAGTAGTCTAATATGTTTGTTATAACTCCATAGGACATCTCTTATATATAAACACATGCAACAAAATAAATTTTTACATTTGCCTAGATAATATTCCTCAAAGGATCAAACATGGTGACTAAGAACAGTTTTCCTCTTTTCTTCGATGTTTATATATATATATATATATATATATATATATAATTAAAATTTCTCTTTTAGTCAAGTTCCACCTTTCCCTCCTCATTTACTTCATTAAGTGTGTCTTTGTATTCATTTATATTTAATATTGCCAACAAATATCTTTGAAAAAGCGTTGGCCGAAAGGTACCTTAGGTATGACATCCGTTTTGTTCAAGGATATATATATATATATATATATATATATATATATATATTGGAGTAACTGATGGAGTCTGGAAAGAGAAATTATGCACACAAAATATGCTTTAGAAGTGATAAATAGGTGAATCATACAATACTTTCTAAACATATATGAGAAATTAAATAGAAAAAACCAAATCACACCAAAATTATTATGGAAAATAAGTAAAACAGAATCAGCCTACAAAAATAAATCCAGAAAAGTGTAAACCTTGTCTGGAGGAGAAAATATCTATAATCGTCCTCCCAGACCAACACAAATTATTAAATTAATGATTGAAGCTTATCTTGAAATGCAGATATGTAAATAAATTTTAACTCCATATGCTGAAGTTAACACCAGTTAACTGTGCCAAACTTTATATTTGTATTAAATATTTATATATATATATATATATATATAAGTTGTATGGATATGAGTTTGTGACCTTGGGTTTCACACTTTTGCGATCATCATACAAACTCTGATATACATACACACACACACATATATATATATATATATATAATTTTATTTTGATGACATTAAGAAATTGTTTTTTCTTTGCGTTTTTTAGAAATAGATGTCTCACTTTTTTTTAAGTGTTGTAAATAGATTTGATATGATTGTAAACCATACTGAGGAGAAACTTCTTTTATAAGAAATTTTTTTTCCTAATATTAGCAGATAAACAGAATTGTTTACCAGATCTAGTGAGGATGTCTTCAGATATTCATAGATCATTATCAAGAGCACAAAACTCACCAGAACCAAAATTGAAAATTCTTGCAAGAAAATCTAAAAAACAAAGAAAATTGGCAAAAATTCTCCTGTAAGTCTTATTCAATACAAATTGTTTAGGAGAAGAAAAAAAAACTGCCTAAATAGAATGCTAGTCTCTTAAACAAATATAAATAGCATTTGAAGTAGTTTTATTTTACTTATTTTTTTCAATTATTAGTTAATAGTTTAACATTTAAAAGTAGAGTCTGGCTATAACAAACTTTTTAAAATATAGATTTAAGGAATATTTGAAGAATTATGCATATTTTGTATTTTAATATTATTCAAACTCCGTCTAATGCCTTTGTTTTTTTTTTATTATCATAACATTGTGATAATAATAACAAAGATGAGGATATTAGTCTAAATGTAAATGATAACTCCTCATCCCAGAAATAATTAGAGAAATTATACATTAAAATTTTTAAAAAAAGAATATATATTAATATTTTATATTAATATTTATATATATTAATATTTTATATTAATATTTATATATATTAATATTTTATATTAATATTTATATATATTAATATTTTATATTAATATTTATATATATTAATATTTTATATTAATATTTATATATATTAATATTTTATTAACTACACTCTGCTACCAGATATTGATCAATAAACTGAATGACAGAACTTTAGCAAACAATAGAAGACTTTTGTCTCCTTTTTTTTTTTTTTTTAGTGTTTTGTTAGCCAAGGATGGTGAGTTCAGTCCTAGGTAGTACCACAAGAGTCAGCATAATTACCAATCTGAGATTCTGAATATGTAACAGAATCACCAAAGATAGTTATTTCAATTTTATGCTAATGTTAACAAAGGATAATTATATTTCGTCTATTTTATTCATTAATCACTTTAATTTGAGAATTCAAGAAACAAAATGCCAATCTGATTATATTTTTTTCTCGAGTCCTTTTCATTTTCTGTTATTTATGTGTGTGTTTTTTTTTTCTCTGTTTTATGATCTACAACAGCTTAAGCTGACCAATGCAATCTAGCCTGGTCTATCCAGAAGAACCAATCACAAACAGACCGCTACTCTACGAATACACAGAGTATGTTGTTCCTTAAGCTTTATCATTTATTTTCCAATCCAAGCTACACTGCTGTTGGTATCTGGTTCTGCCTATTTTTCGTACAGTCAACCTGCAGATCCATGAGAGAGAAAAAAAATTAGAGCAGTTTGGGTCTGGAGATTGAACCTGAAAACCAGATGTATCTGCTTGAACCTTCGAAGGAACTTGTTTAATTTTTTGCTGTTTGGTAGATTGGGTGTAAATGAATGTTTTATTCTTGTCGGCCATTTTTATTGAGATACGAAGAACATTTGAAATCTTAGGAAATGTAAACTGTTTCTAGTCTGTAAATAATTGAGACTTTTTTCTTTTTTTTAATATTTATCTAGCCATGGCCAACATGAATAAAATTAGTTTTAATTTTTGGCTACTGTCGGAGTCTTTGGTAATCTGTGAAAACTCTTGGTCACTTAAGTCAACAATTTTTTTGTAATTGTACCTTATATCAAATGGTCCAGACTATTTTTGTGTATATAAACGACATTAGAATTATAAATAATTTTTCCACTTTGTCATTAATTTTCCTAATACATACATACACCATTCGGTAGCTTTTGGTCTATAACGGTGGATCCCAACCAATTTTGGACCACGCCCCACTTTGGTATTTCTAAAAGTCTGGTGCCCCCCCTGCAATATTTTATTCTTATATGTATGCCAATTACACAAAATATTTTTATGTATGCATACTGTATATGCATTGTATGTATTAATACGCATTAACACTCTCACTCAGACTCACTAGAAAACAATTCACTGTTAATAAATCATTCCCGAATTGCCCCCTTATTCTGTTGGTATAGTAAACCAAAGGGTCCACATCTTACGCATGCCCCACCAAAATATTACCATACACCCCACGTTGACAAACATTGGTCTATAATGACAACCATTTTACTGTATTAGTTATCTCCCTTGAATTGGAGACAAAATATGGCAGTGTTTTAGTTATGGCTATCGTCCTAAGATGTTTACAAAGTTGATAGATGAAATGACTCATTCTGTGATAGATTAGAATACAACAATAATAATAGAAAAGGTTATATTTAATGACTCATAAGTAAAAACCTAACAATGGTAATTTGCTTTCTTTTTTGATGTCATGACTAAAATAATATTAATATAAGATTCTACTGGGTAAAAAGTTTTCAATGCTTAAGTACTAAACTGATCCTTCATAATTAATCCAAATCAATATAGGGAAATATATTTAAAGAGTCACATGAAAAAAGGCCTATAATAGTAAGGGACTTTAAAACGTATGTCATTGTTTTAAGTAGCATGAGTAAACTTGTGAATATATACCAGCTGTCGTAATGGGGTGTTGAAAGTTTTTTAAAACCAATAGAAAAATACCCACTTGAATTCCTGCCGTGCGAAGCTCAGAATAAACATTCCTACTCGTATTCAAAATAACACAAAAAATACATCTTAAACAGTCAAGCATGAAGAGAAATTACCCCCCTCCCCCTTGAAAATGGCTAAAGCAGTGGCCAAAAGCGCTTGGTACAATGAAAAATGTGGACAATTTTTGCACTCTCTTACTTCCACCAAATGAAAAAAATGTAAGAATGCTGGAAAAGCTAAATAAAAAATTAATTAAATTTTCTTTGTCTGTCATATTCAACAAAACATGTTTAAAAGAAGGGTTGCTGCCCATATATATATATATATAATATGATAAAGTTAATTGGTAATCTGTATGAATAATTCCAGGGAGGATATAAATCCTAAGAGCTCAATGTAGTAAACAGAGCAAGTAATAATTAATTAACAAATCAGAGACTTCAGAAAGCAATGGTAATATTTTATTTCGCAAAATCGATAATTCAATTTCACTTCATCAGACCTGGCAGTTTTAAAAGAATGAATGATTCATTGTTTTGAAACCACCAGGTCTGATGAAGTGAAATCAAATTATCAATTTTACAAAATAAAATATTACCATGGCTTTCTGAAGTCTCTTATTTTTTAATTAATTATATATATATATTTATATAATACCTAATATAATATATATGCCTTGTGAATGAAATTGGGTAGGTAAAACTGTTTTGCAACCATTAATGGTTGTGCTAGCACAAAGTCACAAGTCATAGTGACTGAGGGTTTGAACATACTGGCCTTGTTCAGACTTTTAATCATTTCAGATTATGTCCCAGAAATGCATGTGCTCGAGTAGGTGTCTGCATCAGGGATTAGCTCACTACCTTAGCAGACATGTTCTCAGAAATGGGTAGCCATCCATTATATAATTTACTGTCATCTTTATCTTTAGAATTTTCTGTACTTACAAAAATTAGTCATTAGTTTTAAAAAATAAAAAAATTAATAATTCTTTTGGCAAACTTGGACATTCATATCCGCAAAAAAGTGGTGTGTCAATAAAACAGGATTTTCCCTTGACACTGCTATTATTTTAACTACCTTCACTCCTTGGCAATGTTTATTTTATTAGTTTTTAGATTGTTGTAAATATAGAATTATTCTTGTAAATAAAGAATCTAATAAATAAAGAGTTTTTGTAAATTCTCAAGAAGAAAAAATATCCAAATGTAATAAGAATGAAAAGAATATAAATTCAAACGTTCACAGCATTAATTCAAAAGACGGCTCAACACCATGAGTAGAGCAATAATTATTTATTATAAATTGTTTTATCTGTATGTAGCAATTTATAATAAATAAAAAGAACAAAAAATATATACATTCACTTTCATATGTTTAGGTTTTATTACAATTCTAACAATCACTTTTGAAGGAATAAACATTGCGAAGGAGTGAAGATAGTTAACCCTAAAACGCTAACCATCAATTAAAGTTACAGCACTTCTAACCATGGGTATATCATACCCGATTTTGAAAATATAAAAGAAAATATTAAATATAAATTTTTATTTGAAATATTTTACATGGAGGCACTTCAAACTTTGTACTTTGAGTTAACATTAATAGGAACTGAAAAACATATTATTTAGGTAAGAAAATCAGATACTGAAAATTGTAATTAAAAATAGGAAAATTTACACTGGGTACCATGGTTAGTGTTCTATGGTTAAAATAATAGTGGTGTCAAGGGAAAAACTGTCCTTTTGACACTGTGTTTTTTTTGCGGTCACAAAGGTCAAAGTTTGCCTTCTATCTTATTCTTATTAGTGAATTTTAATTTTTACATTGTATTTTGACTTTGCTGTGTGACTTCCTAGTTTTTTTTCCACGCGTTTATAAAATTTATTCTAAGTCAATACAAAATTGTTTCAAATTATTTTAAAAAAAAAATAAATTAAGCCATTGCGATCAAATCTTTTTACTTCTTGTGAAAACAATTGTACCTGATAGAATTTTAATTATTTCTCTCTTAAATATTTATCTAAAGCCTCGCTTTTCAGTTGGATGTATGGGTGGTGTCATGAACAGTGGTTCAGAATGAAAAATTGATGAGCTAAGTTCAAGTTCCAGTTCAATTTGAGACATTCACTTATGCCCAAATATCCTTGGGGAAGGTATGAATCGATCTCCCCCTAGCTATGGATTAAATAGCGGGACTTGTAGCTCGAAAAAAAGTAAAAATGATGCTAGCAACTTCATCCTGTAAAAACCTACTTTATATGGAAACTGTAGCAGCAACACCTAGTGCATTGGGGTCTGTGGTACTATACACCAGTTGTCTCCCCAGCTAAGGGTTAAATAATAGTTTTAAAAAATCATTATCTTCAAACAGATTTTAATGCAATATTCACTAAAAAAATAAAATTATTCTTACAGTCTAAAATATGTTTCAGCTTTACATAACTCAAAAAGGGTTGACAAACAGTAAATATGTCTGCATGTATGTGTTTGCATGTGCCTCTCTCTCTCTCACATGAAATTGACAGCCTGAAAGATCTGGAACCATTGATTAGGAAGCATAGTGACAATCTTCACTCACACAAAAAATTAATTATTCTTAATGAATGAATCAATCAAACCTCACTTTTAATGTTTCCAATTCCTCAACGTTCTTCTTCAAAGTTTTCAGGATGCATTAAACTGTTACAATTTACTCTATTTACATAATTTGTCATCATCTTTATTGTCATATTCATCACATTCTATCCACTAAGGTGGCCAGATATTGAACTCACAACTCCTTGGATTAAGTCACTTCTTGGATCACTCAACCAACACATTTATCCACTTGGCCATGTGTGCTTGGGACTTGACTCAAAGAGTTCTGAGTTCAACACCTGGCCACAGTAGAGGAAAGTTGAGTCACTAAAGGGAATTAACTGCAACTAAAATATCCCCCACCCAAAAAAAGGCATGGCATGTAGAACTAGAACAATCTACCCCATGGGACTAAATAAAGAGTTTTGGTTCGAAATTCCAACATATATTACCTGAAGAAAGCCATAGCATACAATGACTGAAATGTTGTGAATATGGCAATAAAGATGAAGACAGCCGTCCAAATGATGTAAATAGTGTAAAATATTTACAATACCTTATCTCAGAAATATAGATAGATGTTACAATATTGCGTAACAATAAGTTTGTTCTGAAAAACTAGGTATGTTTGTTTCAAAGATCCTATTTTTAACCTGTCTTAGCATTTAAAGAAAAATTTAACTCAATAAACTCGGTAACACATTTACAGTATTTCTCTAATAATTTGTTTGTTTCATTTTCTGTCCTCTTCCAGAATGGACGTCTTTGTTTCCCCTGCTGGCCATATCAGGCCATGTCATGATGATAGTTGAAAACTGTGCAATTTACGAGTGAGAAATTTTCTAAATTTCACTTAATGAAACCTGCCTTTGTTCAGCTGTCATTTGTCTAATATAGACAGTTGGAGGTTAGCTAAAGTTCACATTGCAGATTCATGGCTAGGCTGGTTGGTTCCAAACATCAATTACAGTCAACTTGCTTTTCTAATAGCCTGAATCAAACACTGTTGAAAGTAGACAGCACAAATTTTTACCACTTCTTCTTTATGTGCCTTCAGGACATGGGCGATCATGGCTCTCCACAATTTCCTCTCCTTTGTATCTCTGAGAAAAAAATTTATCCTTTTACTATCTCTCCTAATCTCTGTTATGCCAACCATTTACACAAGCTCACCTTTCATGGCATCAGAGATAATGGCTCTCCACAATTTCCTCTCCTTTGTAGCGGTAAAAAAAATTTGTCCTTTTGCTATCTCTCCTAATCCCTGTTTTGCCAACCCTTCACACAAACTCCTTTTTCTTCTATGTGCTGAGACCTTTCACGGCATGGAGATCATGACTCTCCACAATTTCCTGTCCTTTGTAACTCTTAGTAAAATATGCCTTATTTCTATCTCTCTTAATTCCTGTTTTGCTAACCATAGCTCCTTCTTTTAGGGCATAGGCAATCACGACTTTCCACAATTTCATGCCCTTTGGTTTTTTTGCTATCACTCCTAATCCCTGATCTGCCAACTATTTACACAAAATTGTTCTTCTATGTGCCATGTCCCTTTAGGATGTGGTCAATCATGGCTCTCCACAATTTCCTGTTTCTATCACTCTTAATAAAGTTTGTCTTTTTGTTATCTCTCTCTTAATCCTTATTATGCCAACCATTTACACAAGCTAATTAGATAAATTATATGCTGTTTTCCTCTGTCCCTCTTGCTTTCAATATGTCTTGTAAGTATTAAAATTTCTCTTTCCCCAATCTGTGCTCTAGAAATTTCAATTCTGTCTTTCTGATTCGAAAATTTAAAAAGAATAAACTAGAAGTCTATTTAAACATGTGAATCCACTGGATGTAAATTTACTGTAGAAGCTTTGTACCTTTTCATATTAATTCCTTTCTTTCTGTATTCTATTGTGGTTTGACTTGAAGCCTAGTGGTACTTCCAACTGAATTTTATAAAATCTTTCTATAAAAACAATTTTTCAGAGGAATAGTTTTTTCATGTCCATTAACTGTTATCATTCTTTTGTTAACATCTTGATTAGGTCATTATTTACATGTGCTATCCATTTTAGTTGTTGCTGTTGTTGAAAGTCCTCAGGTGATGTGGTTTCTGTTATTTGGTACAGATCTTTGTGAATCAATAGGATCAGTTCAAAAGGAATTGCAAAGCAAGATCCTTACTAAGACCTACAAGTTTCATTTACATGAAGCCACCTTTAGCCATTGATCTAGTTAAGGCCAAATCACGTTGAAACTGGTTCACAGATGATCACTGAAGTTAAGCAACATCAAGCCTGGCAAATACCTAGGTGTGTGGATTGCTTGAGAATACCTGGTGCTGTAAGTTTGGATGTGTGGGTGATGTAATGGATAAAAGCTCAAAATTGTTAATTCCAAGTTCCAATTCCTGTTGGGTTTGTTATATTCACTTACGTGCAAATGTCTTTTTTAAAAGGTATGAAGCCACCTCTTCTCCCCTCAGCTATGGGTTAATTAGTAAGACTTCTATAACTAAACCATTATTATCTCTCCCCCCCCCCAAATTCTTACAATCTAAAAACATTTTCTGACTTTAAATAACCTGCAATGTGTTCATAGAAAATGGATCAGTCAATCAATGAAATATTGATTAGCTATACAGACCATTCTACCAGATTTATTTACATTCTATGAAATATAAATGTATGGCCACAAAGTGAGGGGTCAATTTATATAGATTGTGATATAGAATTGATCCCCCACTTTATATCCTTTACTGTTTGTTCATCAAATTCTGATTAGTTATGAATCCAACTCCCCCCAGCTATGGGTTAATTAGTAAGACTTGTATCATTATTGTCTAAAAAAAAAAATATTTTCTGGTTTTAAATAACTTGCCAAGGGTTTGTAAGCTGTAGAAAAAAAATTTCTCTTAGAGTTACATGTGCTATCCATTTTAATGGTTGCTGCTGTTGGAAGTTCTCAGGTGATGTGGTTTCTGTTATTTGGTACAGTTCTTTGGGATTCTGTAGCACCAGTCCACAAGGTTTGAAAAGAATGGCTCTTGTTAAGACCGACAAGCTTCATTAGCATGAAGCCACCTTTACCTATTAATCTGGTTATATACAACTGATAGTTTAGATATTTTTGAACGGCTTTGGTGCCATGCATGACGTCCATATGGAAGTCTCAATCTGATGAGGGTATTTAAAAACATGACTTCAGTTTTTTTAGCTTAAAGTTTTGGTTTTTAGCTACTTATGTTGTTTGATAAAACTTCTAACATAGCCTATTCTATGTTCGATTTCCTCATCTTGTATGCTAAATTTTTGATAACTGATCTACACCAGGAGATATTTGAAGGTGTTTACTATTTATTAATGGCTTTAATAAAGACAAGAAAAAAAATCCAAAATAGATCAACCATATAGTTACTTTTTTTTTTTAAATCCACTCAGTACAAACCTTGAGAGCCAGTCAAGATAGAGTGTTACTAAATGAGATGTTTAATATGATTGTAAGAGTTGCTGGTAGGAAGTAAAGATGGATAATGATTGTATCTTGATTTGAAATGTTTTGCATCTCCACAAGTGTCTGTTCCACAAAATAATGGTTTTTGGAAAATGTGGAACTTAGAGTTGGAATATGGGGAAAATCAGGGTGATTCATTTCCTGGGCGCAGCATGGCATGTCCAGTATGCAAAGGTCTGAACTGGTGGAACTAAGAAACAGAGTTCATAAGCAAGCTCCAACTACATCAAAATTTTAAAATTAGCTTTAACTCTACTTCTAATAATTCCTAATCAGTAGGAGTCTAGTCTTAAATGATTTTTGAGCATACTTACAATTTAGAAGATATTTTTCCATATATGAAAATATAAATATTTAGCAATCTTGGACATTTGTGCCTGCAAAAAAAATTTGAAATGTCATGAGGACGGTTTTTTCCTCAACATTGCTATTATTTTAAATACCTTCACTCCTTGGCAAGGTTTACTGCTTTAAAAAATGATGATAAGATTGCAATAAAACCTAAACATATGATGAAAGGAATTTATACATATTTTTTGTTCTTGAGTATTAAGAGCAAAAATATTAATCACTATTAGGTAATATATATATATATATATTATTTCTTGTAAGTCATGCAGTAAGGTACCTAGTATAAATAATTTATATAAGTTTCATTCAGGTTCCAGATTTTTGTTCTTTGTTTCTTGTAAATAAAATAACTTTAAGATTATAAAAAGAGTAATTTAAAAATATGTTGTCTTGATCCAATTTATATGCACAAAATGGTTGGTTTGTAGGCACCTGAGTTCTGTTAAAAAGGTTATTTAAACGTTAGCTTAAATATTTATATTAATAATATATATATATATATATATAGAGAGAGAGAGAGAGAGTATTGCTGTCCAGCCTGAACATAGTTCAAATACGTTTTCACAGCTTTTGTGTGTAATGAATTATTTTATACCCTGCAACACTTTTCCCACAAATGACCTATACACAGGGTCATTCTCTCTGTATTCCATGAATAAAGAGGAAGTTCCACTCGAATTGGTTCTTCCCAAGAACTGCTGCTTTGTGGAACAGACACCCGGCAGGATGTTTTCCCAATCACTACAATCTTGATCTCTTTGTCTAGGGTTAACCACTAGATTTACTGCATAACCTCATGAACTGCACTTCTGGTCTTTTTTCAACCTGGCACAGTAACACTCTACCTTTAGTGGCTCTTGGGGCTTGTATTGGGTAAACAATAGTATGAAAAAAAACTTAATGATTTGAATGTTTAAACCCCTACACCTTATTAAAAGGGTGTGAATAATAGGAATAGAATTTTTAATTTCTTCAATCAAGCAATGTCAGTTATTATTCATTTTATGACTGGAATTTATTTCATCTGGATTTCAGTTACTTTTTTATTGCAACTCTCAGTCATTCTACAATTGTTAATAATAGTAGTAGTAATCTTATTTTGAATTTCTTAGATGAAATGGTAATTATTATTAATTTTATGACTAATATTTCTTTCATCTTAATAACGGTCTGAGTTGCAATGAAAAGCAAGAGAAATTAAGATGAAAAAAATATTAGTTAAAAATTAATTATGGCTGACAGTCATTTATCTAATAAAAAATAAATGTCTATCAAGAATGTAAAAACAGAGAGGGGAGTAATTGGGTTTGAATGAAGAACGATTTTAAGGATTAGGGTTGTATAAACCAAAATCTGTTATAACTTATCCAACAAAATTGAAGGTATTTTATGACAGTTCTGTAATGTTGCATTGTCCACCAAAATAAACTTGGCCATCAGAAATATTTTTTTTATTTTTTAAATCAATTTTATTCAATTCCCCCCGACCAACCAAGGATCAAATTGTGTGATGCCCATCTCAAGATGGTTATTTAGTTACATCTCTAAAATATCTACCACAGGGGAATAGTCTACTAGCTATTCACTTGAGCAACCTAGTAACCATGAACCTCACTGGGTGCCTGGCTTTTATGGCCTAATGTCAGTTCTTGCTAAACCTTGTGAATATGTCGAAACGTATGTGAGGAAGTTGTATTTTTTTTTGTTTGTAAATTTAACTTTGAGTATCTGAACACAGATATTTTCTAAAACACTTTTTCAAATTACTTATTTTTATTTATTATTTTCTAGAAATACTACAGCCATTCTTCACTTAAAGACTTGTTTAATGAGCCTCGGAGAGTTGAATTAAGAGGAGATAACTGATAACTGACATCCATTAGACATGGCACGTGGAACTAGAACAGTCTACCCCAGCGAGCAAAATAAAGGGTTCAGTTCGACATTCCAATCACCTGAAGATGGCCGGAGCGTACAACAACCGAAACGTTGTAATAAATATAGCAACGAAGATGAGGACAATAGTCTGAATAATATAAATAGTGTACCATTTGTTTTAGATAAACATATGTTAGATTCTTTCAGAATGGATTCAATAAAGTTGGCAGTGTAATATAATGTTTTTGATATAAATTTATAGGTGGCAATATTGTTATTAGTAGGCTCTCAAAGTACTTTCTATGTAAAGAATTATGTTCTTTCTTTAATTAGGGTGGCATTAGTAAAATCAAAGTTATGCCTAGTTTTGTTCCTGTGTATTACAAGAGAGTTTGAATGGCTGTCTAAAAATAAGTAAAATAAATTTCTTTTAAAGGTACAATTTAAATGTCTTCTCATACTAATTAACTTCAGATGGACTTGTCATCTCTCCTTGAATTCAAAATGCCAATATATATATATATACATATATATATATATATATATATATGTGAGATGACAAGTCCATCTGAAGTTAATTAGTTGATGCCAAGCTTACCTGAAAAGCCATAAATATTGCTTTAAGTATGTAAGTATTTAAAAATTCTAGTTTGTCTATGTGGGATTCAGATGCTAATGTATATCCGTGTGTTTGTGTGTGTGTGTATCTAGTAGACATTATGTTTGTTAGCTTTTCGCATGTTGATTTGAAAATTTAATTTGTTTATTACATTTACTGTTCAGTACACTAGTAGGGAGGCATGGTGGAGTAATGGATAGCAGCTCAGATTGAGGAACTGGAGGGTCAAGTTCAAATTCCAGTCAGATCCATTACATCTGTGTAACACTTACGTGCTAATACCCTTGGGAAAAGTATGAATACCCTAGCTATGTGTACACAGCAGGACAGACTGGGTTCTATAACCTTGGGTGCTAACCAGTCTAGGAGAAGGAAAGACTCTGAATTCAAATCCAGCCTGGAGAGGGTTGTGCTCCATCAGGCTATCTTGCCTAATAAACACCACTTCTACTTCGGTTGCAGTACGCATTGTGCCCCTATGACCCTGCAGGTCACGGGATAACAAAAAAAAAAACTGCTGTACAAATAAAACATTTAGAAATAAATTTAGAAATGTTACAAATCATGCAAAAGTGATACTAAACTGAAACTGGTTGACACAAACCCATTACATGTATAGTATGACTGAAGTAGTAGTCATCTACAAGTTCTCACTTAGTCACTGAAAATGAAAAGAGGCATGAGATAATGAATAATCATAGTTATATTGGAAGGGATATGGGAGAGAATGAGAAGATACAGCTAAAGTGTGAGAGAAGGACTGAGGCATGAGATAATGGATAATATTAGTTATATTGGAAGGGATAAGGAAGAGAATGAGAAGATACAGCTAAAGTGTGAGAGAAGGACTGAGGCATGAGATAATGGATAATATTAGTTATATTGAAAGGGATAAGGGAGAGAATGAGAAGATACAGGCAAAGAGTGAGAGAAGAGCTGAGACAATGGATAATATTAGTTATATTGGAAGGGATAAGGATGTAAATGAGAAGATACAGGCAAAGTGTGAAAGAAGAGAAGAGGCATAAGATAATGGATAATTGTAATTGTATGGAAGGGATAAGGGAGAGAATGAGAAGATACAGGTAAAGAAGAGCTGAGGTATGAGATAATGGATAATATTAGTTATATTGGAAGGGATAAGGAAGAGAATGAGAAAATATGTCCCTCAACATATGACCAGTTATAGAATCTTATAAAATAAAAAAACTTTCAAAAAATTCAACAAAAACATTTATTGTGAAAATTTTCACTTTAAAATAAATTAAAATAGATAAAAAGATTAAAGTGAAAAAAAAGCAAACAATTGTACTGCATTTAGAGTATACACTGCTCAGGTCTGCACCCTGGAGACGACACTCCAGCATCAACTCACTGCAACAGAAAAAAAACATGAGAAGCAATGGTCTACTGATGGAAGGATTTCAAAGGTCCTTCTGTCCAGGGAACTGACCACCGGCAGAAGGGCAACCTCATCTTTGCTTCAAGGATGTCTGCAAAAATGACATGAGAGCAGTGGACATATCACATATCAAGAGTTGGGGAGACGTTGCCAAAAATTACTCATGCTGGACACAGGTATTATATCGAAGGCTGGAATGAGGAAAAAAGAAGCAAAGAGTTGTTGCCAGGGAGAAGTATGATCAAAGGAAAGAAAACAACATGGAAGACCATCTTCACATGCATTGGTTGCTATCAAGACTGTCATTCTTGTGTGGGCCTGTACAGCCATAACAGACACTATGCCGTCATCAGCAGCAAAAGTATAACTTTTTGGGGCACAGATCCATGATCTCTCAAGGCTGATGGATACCACACTCATTTACAGTCTACAAACTGAATTAATATCCAGAATGTAGAACTGGTTTGCACATTTTATATTATGTTTACTCGTCAGTACACTGCTGTACAATGTAAACCTTTAAAAATAAATTACAAATGGTGCAAAAGTAACATTAAAGTTATCTGAAGTTCGTTGACACAAACCTATTACCTGTGTAGTATGCCTGAAATAGCAGCCATCTAAAAGTTCTCACTTAGCAACCAGGTTCTTAGAATGGAACCCAATCATTAAGTGAAGAGTGGCTGTAATCTTAAAAACTGCAGGAATTTTGTTTTATGAAAGGAAGTTTGGAATTGAATTTAAACAATAGAGATGTAAAAACATATCTCTGTCCCATCATAGTTGATATTTTTAGTGCACAGAAATGTAATAATTATTATGGGATAGAGCTAGTAATATTAATAAGTATTGCCAGTAATCAAAAGAAAACTAGGCAAATGTACTGACTATTAGAAGACAGAAGTTGTAATATTTATTAATAAGAGTTGCCAAAAATTAAAACACTCCACACATATAAGAATTAGGGGACAGAAGGTTTGTTTTTTTTTTAATTTTTATTTTAGAGTATTTTGTTTGCTCATATTTCTGTTTTTTGTGGAAAAAAAATAAAAAAAAAGATTTGGATCGTAAATAACTGAATATAATATATACAAATCTTTTCCTATTAGAGAAAAATCGAAACTGATTCTCAAAATGACTGAATGCTGTGGTATACAAACTCTTTTTACCTCAAAATAAATTTTTGTGTTTTGGGTCTTTTCAAATTAAATATTTATATTTTGCTTTTTATTTTATTCTGTGTTACCGGTTGTTGTTTTTCTTTTACCGCTTGTTTTTCTTTTACCGCTTGTTTTTTTGTTTTTTGTTTTTTTTGCATACATAAACAAACATGCTCACATTAAGACAGAGCATCAAAAGGATGGTTTTTCCCTTGACACCACTATTATATTAACTACCTTCACTCTTCATCAATGTTTATTGTTTTAAAAAGTGATGATTAAAATTTAAAAAAAAACTTAACATGAAAAGAGAATTTATACATTTTCTTTGTTCTTGAGAATAATTATTTATTAGATTTATTTACACTATTTATCTATTATTTAGTGGAATGGTTGGCAAAACATTGGCTAATTACCATTTGATATGACTTTATTTATTTAATCATATCATCCAAAGGAAGGCAGAAATGTCTAGTTAGCAGGGGATTAAAGAGAGTGAAAATGAGAGAAATAACTGAATATAGGAAGGATTGAGGAAAGGACTAAACATGAACGGGATTCAAGAAGATAGAAGATGGTGATTGATGTTGCATTTAAATTTTGTGAATCATTTAACCCCAAGCAAGGTGGGAATACCAGTAGTATGCAGGAGATTACAGAGAGTGAAAAAGATGAACGGGATTCAAGAAGATAGAAGATGGTGATTGACGTTGCATTTAAATTTTGTGAATCATTTCACCCCAAGCAAGGTGGGAATGCCACTAGTACGCAGGGGATTACAGGGAGTGAAAATGAGAGAAAAGACTGAGTATAGGGAGGATTGAGGAAAGGACAAAAGATGAACAGGATTCAAGAAGATAGAAGATGGCAATTGATGTTGCATTTAAATTTTGTGAATCATTTCACCCCAACCAAGGTGGGAATGCCACTATTACGCAGGGGATTACAGGGAGTGAAAGTGAGAGAAAAGACTGAGTATAGGGAGGATTGAGGAAAGGACAAAAGATGAACAGGATTCAAGAAGATAGAAGATGGCAATTGACGTTGCATTTAAATTTTGTGAATCATTTCACCCCAACCAAGGTGGGAATGCCACTAGTACGCTGGGGATTACAGGGAGTGAAAGTGAGAGAAAAGACTGAGTATAGGGAGGATTGAGGAAAGGACAAAAGATGATCGGGATTCAAGAAGAGGGTGACTCATGTTGCATTTAAATTTTTGAAGATTGTAGTTATCAGGGAAGCAAGTAAACTGAAGGGAGTTCCACAGGTAGAAAGTGTGAGAAAAACTGTTATTAGAATTGCAGATTGCAATTAGCTATTTCAACAGTAAAATGGTGGGACCTAGATGCCAATAATGGTAACTAAGGATTTCCTTATAGTTGGTTCACATATAATTTAGTAAATGTTTATGAATTTCTGAATAAAGAATTGTTTTTATATTTATTTCTTTAAATATTGGTAAATGATAAATATTGCATTGCATTAGTTCTAATTGGAGTAGTTTTTAGAATGATTATTTTCAAGAATAATTTTATATTTACAACAATCTAATAAATAAATAGTCTTTAATATTTTTGTTGTAAATTCTCATGAATAAAAAATATTTTGTTAGAAAATTGCCAATATTTTTTTTATTTATTATACGTACCTCTCTTATTGACTTGTAATATTCTATGGATATCCATATTTACAAAAATCAACATTTTCAAGATCAGCAAAAAAATCATGACGTGAGAAAGTATAGGTCAGTTTGTTTTGAACACGGTGCTGCGTGTATGGAGAGACTTTATCAGTTACACAAAACTGCAAAGGAAGGTCATGAAATCAAATCTGTAGATCATTTCCTGGCAAGTTGAGGTCAACCTTAAAGAATTTCACGCCATCGGCACTTTTTCTACTCTGTTTTTGTATTGTTGTATGACATCCATATTTACAAATTTAACATTTATACATGCACAAAAAAATGTATAAATTCATTTTCATCATATATTTAGGTTTTATTCCAATTCTAATCATCGCTTTTTAAATGTATAAACATTACTGAAGCATGAAGGTAGTATAAAAAAAGTGGTGTCATGGAAAGAAAAAAAACATCCTTTTTGTCTTATTTGTGGGTACGTTTATCCATGTTTGCCATTTTAAAAAAATTATTAATGAAATGTGTTACATCTTTCAGTTTACCCATTTTGTTTTTATACAAAGAGCACAATCCAGAAATCTCAGTAAACTTTTATATAGGAGCTCAAGGTAAACAGCAGGGGACATCAGGCCATATGTGGCAGCAATATTCTAAGCATGGACAAATGGTAGACATGTAAGGTAAGAGAGAATTTCGAGAGAAAGATTTTCTAGCACGAAACAGTGGACCAACTTTCTTAGCAGCTGAACTAGCAATGGATTCAATAAAGTCCTTAATGAAGCCAGATAGAGACCTAGCAATGGATTCAATAAAGTGCTTAATGAAGCCAGAGAGGGAGATGAGATGAGATGAGGTATTATGTACACTATTTACATTATTTGGACAATTGTCCTCATCTTTGTCGCCATGTTTATCACAACGTTTCAAAATTAACAGGAGATAACTGACATCCATTAGATGTAGCACATGGAACTAGAACAGTCTACCCCAGTGAGTGAAATAAAGGGTTCAGTTCGACATTCCAACCACCTGAAGAAGGCCAGACCGTACAACGGCCGAAATGCTGTGATAATCATGGCGACAAAGATGAGGACAATAATCCAAATAATGTAAACAGTGTAAATAAAGATGTTTATCGAGAACTCTGTTTGAACTTCTTGGTAAGCTTGATTTGTTTTGGAAAGATATTAGAATAACCCAGAAATTATATTGGGAGCAAACCACTTGCATATAGATAGAAAATGAATTCAATAAATACATAAAAACAGGAAAGGTTGTAAGACAAGGATGTATCTTCTCACCAGACTTATTCAACCTTTACAGAAAGGCAATTCTAAGAGAATTAGAAGTCCTACCAAGACTTATTAGCAGCAGACTGAATCTTAACAATACAAGATATACAGATGTAGGCAGCAGCTTTATCTCACATCCAAGAATTTTATTTCTTCATTTTTGATCACTTCCTTTATGATGATAGCAATGATGACTAAATTTGCCACCAATGTGTAGGTTCAGGACGAGAATCTTCCAGTTTCACCAAAATCTACACCTATCATCCATTCCCTGCAACTGACTCTTGCAAGCCAAACTCTGACAAGGAATGGATGATATGGGTAAGTTTTTCCCAAACAAGTCAAGCTAGTAGGGAGAAGATGATGCAATAGGCAACAATAAACTACAGAAGAACCCCAAATTGATTGCTGCATTTAAGTATTGCATTAATATTACCTTTTAAATTTAAAGGTAACTTAGCATTAAGATTACCTTTTAAAAGTTCAACGATAATTCTTCTGCTGCCACTTAATTTAAAGACAATTTGATGTACGTAGGGCCTTACTTTCCGTACAAACAATTATTTTTATTTCATGGGTGACTTTTGCTGGATTTCACAAATAATTTTGAATATTCCCAAATTTATTTCCAAGGTATAAAAATTGTATTTGTACAAAATATTTTTTGCAAAAAATCATGTAAAAATATTGCCAAAAACAATCGCAGTAATGAAAACTTGGGAATCCAAAATTTCAGAATTGTGAGTCTAAATCCTGCCCAGAATATTTTTAATTTGCACACAGAGTCAGCCTGTGCTACAACTTCTAAGGGTAAAGTTGAAAACATGGGTGATTTTATTTTGAAACACTGCAATTTGAGAACAGTAATTTTTTCATTTGAACATGAGCTATTGAAAGTTAGAGAATTGTGTTCCTTTAATTGTTTTTATCAGTAGAAGCCAAGATGGCAGAATCCAAAACCAATCACACTGATGAAAAACTGGGAATCTAAAATTTCAGAATTGTGAGTCTGGATCCAGCCCGAAATGTTTGTAATTTGCTCGCAGAGTCAGCTGATACCAAAATGGTATAAAATGTTGGGCTATGGCCTCAAGGAGTAAAGTTGACAAAGCATGACACAGTGAAACAATGACATTTGCATATAGCAGACATATTTTTGATTTTTGAAAAAGCATTTTCATCACTATTTTTTTAGGTACCTATGTTTAGGTAAATATTAGTCCTGATGACACATACTATCAAGGTCACCCACATGTATTTTGTAACATCAAAAATTGTTTTAAATATTTATTGAAATAAATAATTAAAACTATTTTCAATTATTAATTTAATTTCTCTCTCTCTCTCTCTCTCTCTCTCTTTCTTTCTGTCTATCTATCTCCTGTGATAGACCTGGTATTTTTTGTTATTTTAAAACATTAATGTATGGAATTTAGTTTAGGTTGTTGCACCTATAGTGGAATGCAACTTTGTTAGACGTCTGGGACAGATTTGTGGGAATGTTATTTTCACTTTTTTTTCTTTATTTTTAAGTATATTTGCCGAGTTATCTCTCCTGATACAATCTATCTCAGTCTGTTTCAATCTATCTATCTATCTCTCCCAGTCTGTTACAATCACTTCAGTCTGTTCAAATCTATCTCAGATAGAGAGATTTAAACAAACTGAGATAGAAAGATTTGAACTGACTGAGATAGCTAGATAGATTTAAACAGAGATAGCTAGATAGATTTGAAAAGATTATTTCAGTCTGTTTAAATCTATTTCAGACTGTTCCATCTCAATCAGTTTCAATCTATCTATCTCAGTCTGTTCAAATCTCTCTATCTACCTCAGTCTATTCAAATCTATCTGTTCAGATCTTTATATCTATCTATTTATCTCAGTCTGTTCCAATCTATATATATCAGACTGTTCAAATCTGTCTATCATTTTCAGTCTGTTCAAATCTTTCTATCTATGTATCTATATGTCTTTTCCAGTCTATCTTAGTCTGTTCAAATCTTTCTATCTCAGTTTGTTCATTTCTCAGTCTGTTCATTTCTATCTATCTATCTATCTATCTATCTCAGTCTATTCTATTTATCATATCTATCTATCTATCTATCTATCTATCTATCTATCTATCTCCCTCTGTCCAAATCTATCTCAGTCTGTTCAAATCTATCACCGAGTCTGTTCAGATCTATCTATCTATCTATCTATCATCTCACTCTGTCTAAATCTACCTATCTCAGTCTATTCAAATCTATTTCAGTCTGTTCAGATCTTTCTATGTATCTATCTCAGTCTGTCAATTCTACGTATCTATCTATCTATCTATCTATCTATCTATCTATCTATCTATGTCTGTTCAAATCTATCTATCTTAGTCTGTTCTTAGTCAGATCTCTCTCAGTCTATTCAAATCTGTTTATCTGAGTCTGTTCCATTCTATCTATCTCAGTCTCTTCCAATGTATATATGAAAGATTTGAATAGACTACCTCAGTCTGTCCAATCTATCTATCAGAATCTTTTCAAATCTTTCTATCTCTTTCTGTTCAAATCTCTCTATCTACCTCAGTCTATTCAAGTCTATCTCTGACTGTTCAGATCTTTAGATCTATCTATTTATCTCAGTCTGTTTCAATCTATATATATCAGACTGTTCAAATCTATCATTTTCAGACTGTTCAAATCTTTCTATCTATGTATCTATCTGTCTTTTCCAGTCTATCTCAGTCTGCTCAAATCTTTCTATCTCAGTCTGTTCATTTCTATCTATTTCAGTCTATTCCTATCTATCTATCTATCTATCTATCTATCTATCTATCTAGCTAGCTAGCTAGCTAGCTAGCATAGTTCATTCAAGTTTATCTATCTCAGTCTATTCAGGTCTACCTATCTCAGTCTGTCCAATCTATGTATCTCAGTCTTTTCAAATTTTTCTATCTCAATCTGTTCAAATCTATCTGAGTCTGTTCCAATCGATCTGCTTGTTCAGATCTTTCTATCTCAGTCTGTTCAAATCCATATATGAGTCTACTCAAATCTATCTATCTCACTCTGTTCATTTCTATCTATCTGTTTATCTAAATCTGTTCAAATCTATCTCTCAAGTAACCTACAGGAAATTCCAAATTGAACCCTTTATTTAATATACAAGACTCACTTCTAATCTTAGCATATCCCACTCTTTCTGGAGGACCCCTTTCCCATCCTACCTTATTCTAGCCATGATGGAGGACTCACTTCAAATTCTACCATATCCCACTCTTTCTGGAGGACCCCTTTCCCATCCTACCTTATTCTGGCCATGATGGAGGACTCACTTCAAATTCTACCATATCCCACTTTTCTGGAGGACCCCTTTCCCATCCTACCTTATTCTAGCCATGATGGAGGACTCACTTCAAATTCTACCATATCCCACTCTTTCTGGAGGACCCCTTTCCCATCCTACCTTATTCTGGCCATGATGGAGGACTCACTTCAAATTCTACCATATCCCACTCTTTCTGGAGGACCCCTTTCCCATCCTACCTTATTCTGGCCATGATGGAGGACTCACTTCAAATTCTACCATATCCCACTCTTTCTGGAGGACCCTTTCCCATCCTACCTTATTCTGGCCATGATGGAGGACTCACTTCAAATTCTACCATATCCCACTCTTTCTGGAGGACTCCTTTCCCATCCTACCTTATTCTGGCCATGATGGAGGACTCACTTCAAATTCTCCATATCCCACTCTTTCTGGAGGACCCTTTCCCATCCTATTATTCTCCATGATGGAGGACTCACTTCAAATTCTACCATATCCCACTATCCTTTCCCATCCTACCTTATTCTATCTCATCAAATTCAGTCTGTCCAAATCTATCCATCTCAGTCTGTTCATATCTATCTATCTATCTATCTATCTATCTATCTCAGTCTGTTCATATCTATCTATCTATCTATCTATCTATCTATCTATCTATCTATCTATCTCAGTCTGTTCATATCTATCTATCTATCTTATTCTGTCTCTTATCTATCTATCTATATATCTATCTATCTATCTATCTATCTATTTATCTTTGTCTGTCTCTTATCTATCTATCTATCTATCTATCTTATTCTGTTCATATGTATCTATCTCAGTCTATTCAAATGGGGTTGATATGCTGTCTAAGTAGTCCACCACTAGCAGTGGTTTACCTACTTCACGCCGCTGGCGAGTATTGTATTTTGTTGATGTTATAAAGATTAATATTTCATTTCCAACCTCCATTTTGGTTATTGCTCATTCAGTAACCTTTTCTAGGTTACAACAAGCACAATACTAAATTGGTAGCAAGGTTTCAACCTTTTACAGTTAAAATGGCTAGATGAAACCATTAGTGCTACGCTAAAAGTTTTTTCTTTCAAACTTCTCACTTGTGAAATTCTCTTCTGTCTTCTTACTTTCCAGGCAATTTTGATCTGCAAAAATTTAAATGCAATGTCAATTGTTTTCTTCTGTCTACTTAATTCCTATTCTTTTATTCTTCTCTCTCCTTTATAACATTTCTCTTTTTCTCATATTCTTTACCACTCAGTAAATCTTAGTGGCTTTATTACCTTACTTGGCTTGATTAAAAAAAACAAATATTTTTAGCTTCCAAATTATAACTTGTCAAGATTTCATAAAATCAAATAAAGTACAATTGATTGACTTTTATATTATACACATAAATGTTTTCTTATATTTATTTTTTCAAAATATATTAACTCCTTGACGGACAAGTACAAGTATTATTTACAGAAATATGATAAAACAACATTTTTTGTTTGACTGCTATAAACAAGAGTGGATACTTTTATTCTGAAAAGAAATAAAGGATTGGTTTAGTGGAATGTTGCTTAAATTCAATCCTTATCTTTGCCACAGTCCCATTGTTTCACCCCCACTTCCAAATTCCATACCAGGACACATTTAACTACAGGGGTTATGCTACACTATCACAGATCAACCACCAAAATATTTTAGAACAAAAGACAGGAAAATATCACCTGTTATGATCCAAAATTGTATTATTGAAGAAATGGAATATTTTTGAGGAATTTAATATCTTTGGTTGGAGAGCAAATTTCACCAAATATAGTGAGAAAATGGTAGTATTAGAATGAGTTCTCTAACAAGAATATGGTGGGATTGGAAGTGAGTTCTCCATCATGGCCAAACTAAGGTAGGATTGGAAGGGGTTCTCCAGTAAGAGTGGGATATGGTAGAATTTGAAGTGAGTCCTCCATCATGGCCAGAATAAGGTAGGATGGGAAGGGCGTTCTCCAGTAAGAGTGGGATATGGTAGAATTTGAAGTGAGTCCTCCATCATGGCCAGAATAAGGTAGGATGGGGGAAGGAGGTTCTCCAGTAAGAATAAGGTAGGGGATATGGTAGAATTTGAAGTGAGTCCTCCATCATGGCCAGAATAAGGTAGGATGGGAAGGGGTTCTCCAGTAAGAGTGGGATATGGTAGAATTTGAAGTGAGTCCTCCATCATGGCCAGAATAAGGTAGGATGGGAAGGGGGTTCTCCAGTAAGAGTGGGATATGGTAGAATTTGAAGTGAGTCCTCCATCATGGCCAGAATATGGTAGGATGGAAAGGGTGTTCTCCAGTAAGAGTGGGATATGGTAGAATTTGAAGTGAGTCCTCCATCATGGCCAGGATAAGGTAGGATGGGAAGGGGGTTCTCCAGTAAGAGTGGGATATGGTAGAATTTGAAGTGAGTCCTCCATCATGGCCAGAATAAGGTACAATGGGAAGGGGGTTCTCCAGTAAGAGTGGGATATGGTAGAATTTGAAGGGTGAGTCCTCCATCATGGCCAGAATAAGGTAGGATGGGAAGGGGTTCTCCAGTAAGAGTGGGATATGGTAGAATTTGAAGTGAGTCCTCCATCATGGCCAGAATAAGGTAGGATGGGAAGGAGGTTCTCCAGTAAGAGTGGGATATGGTAGAATTTGAAGTGAGTCCTCCATCATGGCCAGAATAAGGTAGGATGGGAAGGGGGTTCTCCAGTAAGAGTGGGATATGGTAGAATTTGAAGTGAGTCCTCCATCATGGCCAGAATAAGGTAGGATGGGAAGGGGGTTCTCCAGTAAGAGTGGGATATGGTAGAATTTGAAGTGAGTCCTCCATCATGGCCAGAATAAGGTAGGATGGGAAAGGGGTCCTCCAGAAAGAGTGGGATATGGTAGGATTAGAAGTGAGTCATGTATATCAAATAAAGGGTTCAATTTGGAATTTCCTGTAGGTTACTTGGATCAACATACACCTGATGAAGGCCAGAGAGCACAACAGGTGAAATGTTGTGATGACAACAATGAAGATGAGCACAATAGTTCAAACATAAATTTAAACATAAGAGGCTACAATGTATGCTTCTTTGGTGACCAGACAAGAATTGCTACAATTTCGTAACTAATACCTGCCATGCTGCATACATTGGGGAAAACCATTCTCATTCCATTTGTATTCCATTAGTAAGGAGTAAGTTCCACTAGAATAGCTTCTTCCCAAGAATTGTTGCTTTGTGTAATTTAATCCCAAGTGGGTGCATTCCTCACCACTATAATCTTAACCTCTTTAAATATAGGCTTAACCTGTTATGTTTCACACTTATAAATAGTGTTCCTTACTGTTGTGGCCTTGTTAGGGCCAGAAATAATGACACAAAGAGAGGAATTGAGTTAAATAAATATATTAACAGAAACAGTAATACAAACATATACAAACAAGAGTGTTACAGCAAGAATGTTCGGTCCGACTGTCAGAGCTGACTGCTGGAAACTTCCCTCTCCAAAAGGCAATACCTGCTCCTATTTATAGCTGGGAGAGTCTATGCATGCATGGGTAAATTACCATAACACTTAATCTTACACAAGAACTGCTTTTAGTTACACTCTATCTTGAGTGGCACTTGGGCTTTATATAGGGTGAGCATTAAAAAGTCAAGTGCCATATGTGATACACACATAGATGATCATGGCTGTTTCAATTTATGATTGACCAAGCAGAATTTTTTTGTGGTAGACTGGTTGCCAACCAAGGCTATAGAACCTAGTCTGTCCTGCTATTCCTCCCAAAGCTGTGGGTGGGGGAGAAGTGATACTTTTCCCAAGGGTATTTGTGGGTAAGTCAATGTAACAAACCCAAGTGGAATTTGAACTCAGATCTTTGATTTTTCATTCTGAGTTGTTATCCATTTCGCCATGATCATAAGTAAAATTGAAAGTGAAAATTGGTATTAAAAAAAATAAGAAGACTTCCTTGACAATTTTTCACTCATCTGTCGTATTCGCCAGCTATATCAATTTTCAGTTAAAATTCATAACAATATAGCAGTCTCTCTATAAATATAATCATTGTCTTAATGAATATAATCAATTTCCCTCTACACCCCCTACTACCACAACCACCCACACCAACCCAAGGAGAGTTGTATCATTTTGGTCATTGAAATCAAAAATAATTTCAGAGTTGCTGACCTTCCCTAGTACTATCTGTCTATATTTCTGAGATGAGGGATTATGTACACTATTTAAATTATTCGAACTGTTGTCCTCATCTCTGTTGCCATAATTATCACAACGTTTCGGCCCTTCAGTATCTGTCTATATTTCTGAGATGAGGGATTATGTACACTATTTAAATTATTCGAACTGTTGTCCTCATCTCTGTTGCCATAATTATCACAACGTTTCGGCCTTTCAGTATCTGTCTATATTTCTGAGATGAGGGATTATGTACACTATTTAAATTATTCGAACTGTTGTCCTCATCTCTGTTGCCATAATTATCACAACGTTTCGGC